TCCGCAGTCAGTTATCAAGATGAAGGGGCGATACACCGTCAATCCGTTCCCAGAACTCTCTCTAACCGAGGCCGACCGAGTCTCGCTCGAAGACCTGGCCAATGCCTACATCATGTCCAACTTGGAGCTGTGCATGAAATTTATGAGTACCGGTAGAAGGGTGGATCCTGCGCGCTGGAAGCCTCTGAAGGAGAGGAAAGGACTCAAGATCTACTCCGAGAGAAAGGAAAGCGTGGGTACAGCCAAAGCCGACGAAGCAACCGGCGCGGGACTACCTACGATTCTCTGCGTTGGCACCAAGGAGGGGAAGCTGGACGACCTCATGTTCGGCATCATCAGTGAAGACCTGGAAACCATGCGCATGAAGGCTTCGTACGCCGACAGTTTCAGTGCCGCAGCCGTGCTCGATGGTGTGGTCATGCCGTCCCTAGAAGACCCGTTCCGGTCGCTGGTCGTCAAGTGGATGGAGCTCGATATCCCCTTCAACTCCACCGGACTCATCAAGAACCGCGACTACATTTACCTCGAGGGTATCGGTATCGTCCGAAATGCAGCTGGTGAGCGTTTTGGCTACAGTCTCCTCCACTCGGTGAACTTCCCTCAAACGCACGCACTGCCGAGCCGCGTGCGTGGCAACATCTCCTTCATCGCCTACTGGCGCGAGATCGGCAACAACACAATGGAAATGTACGCGACGGGTATCATCGATCCCGTGGACGAGGGTAGTCTGATCCGCAAACTGGTTCTACCAGTCGTGGCCACCTTGTTCCTCGGAAGTCTCGAGTACGTGTACTGCGGCCAAATGCGCAAGTTGACGTACATGCTGGAGCGACGCTACGAGGAATCCAAGACGCGCGGCGCTCCCAACAAGAAAAGCTCTTGTGTCACGTGTTCCACTCCGATCACTGGCCGAAGACTGGGCGACTTTGGCAAGTCCAACAGCACGTGTAAGCTCTGCTTCGGCTTCGTGTGCCACGCGTGTAAGATCGTCCGCAAGTTGAGCTTTGTGGACCCGGACTTGCTGATGACGCAGCGGAAGGTGACGTTCTGCACCAAGTGCATGTGCGAGGCGACGAGCATGAATGCCATTGACATCGCGCGTGCCAGATTGCTGGGCGTGAAGAATGGAGTCAACTCTAGTGCAGCCACCGGCTACTCTTCTATCAGCAACCTGTCCGATGTATCTTACTGCAGCCAGTAGTGTTTCAAACAGTAAGTGAGTTGATGCCTCACTTCAAGTCTACGTTTTATTATTTTTTTTCAGTTGAGTCAACTTGTGTTCAACTATACACAGAAATTAGACTTGCTGGGTCTTGGTCACCGAGGTGATCCACTCAATAGCAACCGACACACGCGAGTACACGGCGGGGATACCCTGGTCACCACAGCCAGAGCCCCAGCCCACCAAACCGATACTCTGATTATCGAGGCGTGCTGCATTTTAGCCATCTACGGAGAACACTCGCCGCTTGTGATCGACTCGATCCATGCGCGTACACGAGACACAATTCCGAACGCAGTCGGGTCCCATCCCTTCCGCAAGTGTCACCCCAGCTCACAAGACCAAGCAGCACGTCGTCCTCACCCTCAGTCTCCTTGACCAACGGACCACCCGAGTCACCATAGCAAGGACTCGTATCTAGCCCGCCAGCACAGGTCACGGTTTCATCACTCATTCTTCGTTGCTTTTCAATTGTAGCTTCACATGCTGGAGCTCATACGACGTGGTCCCGTTTTCATCAGTTCGACCCCATCCACTCGCTGTGACCCGTTCGCCAGTTTTCAGGTCAGAACCATCGGCCGCTGCGAGTTTCACGGGCTTAAACTTGCTTGGCCGCTCAAGTTTCAACAGAACGAAATCGTTCGACATCTGATCTCCGTCAGTCGTGTAGTTTGGGTGGTTTGTGATCGACACAACTCGAATCTGCTCACCATCTTGCGTTCCGTTGAGGTAGTGCGAGCCAATCGATACCCAACGGATATCACCAGGCACACAGTGCGATGCACCCAACACATACGTCGGGGTGATAAGTGAACCCGCGCAAAAGTTATCGCCCTCGACTGTGGATCGAAGACCAGTCGTGTAGGTCTTGGTGCCGGGTTCGGTGGTCTCTCCGCCGACAATAAGTTTACGCTCTGACTGCACGAATTGATCGGGGTCACTATGTCCATCGATAGGGTTTAAGATGGAAGCGAGGGTGACAGTTGAGAGGACAATAGAGGTGGAGATCTTCATTGCGCTGGACGTTCGGGGTAGTTGGTTGCTTGCTAGGAAGTAAGAGTTGAAATGACAGTGTCGTTTCACAGTAGGTAAATCACGCGAGCTGTGATTCCAATGCGACATTGGAATGCCTTTGCAGTTCAGCAATCTCCATTCGTGTGTTTTCAAAGCACGAAATCAAGGCTTACGTGAATTAAAAATCACATAAACCAATGGTCACGTGCTTCCGTGTGCGGTATACTTTACCAGGATGGGAAACCTTTCAAGATCGATATAATCGAAGGATTTCCTACACGTATTTTGTTTTTCAAAGCAGACATGTATCAATCTCAGTTGTGGGTAACATAGCAACGTGTGAGTTGTCGTTCAGCGTTGTTCACAGACTTCCAAACCGAATATTAATGTACTAACATCGGTTCTATCGCGATATGTCTCCAAGAGACAAATTTATTAATGAGCAAAAGAAAGCAGGACTCCCAACTAGTCCTGGTACATGTAAAGCACTGTTAATAGGGGGCTCCTAGTGCGCCGGAGGCTAGTGCCGCGGCACCATGCCAACTACATAAACTGCCCCATACTCAAAGGCACTTCATAATCATCTTTCACGCCGACCGCACAATCACCTCCTCATGTAGGTCGAGTTGTCTGACTGTGAGCTTGAGCTTGACCATTGTGACAGGTTCAAAAATTCTCTGGATTTTGTATCCAGAGTCCTAGCCGGGATTGTAACGGCGTGTAATCCTTTGATTATTAATACCCAGCCTCAACACGATATAGATACATCCCCGTGTTCTATTTATTGGCTTGCAATAAAAAGTAACCTTTTGGATATTTATATTATCCGTGAAGGTTGACCCATCCAGAGAAGATTATAATTAGGGGATTAATTCGTTATTCTTCGATTGTTGTCTTGAAATTTGTAACCAAAAACGTCCATAACGCTTTCACGTCTGTCCTACCCCTTCTTTTTTGTACCACGACCGTACCACCACCGTTTATTAGAGTGGACCACATGTATACATATATATATCTAGAAACAGTTAAAACAACACGCAAGCCTCGAAAGGAAAAGAAGATAAACCAACGCAAAAAGCATGAAGTAATACATTAAATAGAGTCGGCACACATTAATGTGTGTTGTACATCACTGTATGTGGCTTACATTTTCTAGACTTAGTGTTTTTCAAGAAGATCCAAGAGCACCCACCAATGGACGGAAGATCGCTGGCACGTGAGTTGCTGCGTGCACGAGTTAGCGAGCTCATGGACATGAAGAACAAGCTGGAGCAGATTGGCACGAACCTAGAGAGTATACTTAAACTGCAGATGGAGCTACTGTCTCGGATCGAAGAAGAAGAGGAGAGCAGTTACGCCTTGGCTTCTGACGTGGACAGCGCAAACATGTTTCCAGACCTATCTTTTGGAGTGTTGTTGGAGCTGGCAGTGCACAAACTGAATGGGAATACATGTATTTGAGTGTTATCTGAGTCAACTACTTTAATTCATCAAGTAGCTTGTCGCCAATAGCCTTCGCTTTCTCAGTAGTGGCACGAGATCTGCGGCGCTCTCGTGAATTGCACATAATCATCCACAGCATTCGCAGTCGCATGACCTGCACGTCATCTTTTGAGACTTTGGTGTGCTGCCATAGTAGATTCTCGGTTACGTAGCTATAGGCTTGACCCACCACAAAGGCCCCGCAGCTCGCGTAGTCTGGTTGCTGGGGCTTCTCAACCCACTTAATAGGATCCACTTCCAGCTTCGTGTTGGGTGCTGAAGCTTGGCACCATCGCTCCACAAAACCTCTGAGCCCTTCTTTCACAAGCTTATTCTCATTGTCGGTAATGCCGTTCCATTCTGCCTCCATGTCTTCGTGATATTCGTCATCAATAAGCGGCTCATAAAGATAAACATGCACCTTTAACCTGTCTGCGGCTGCGTTGTAGCGAAGTCGGGCTATAATGACTCCCCAGTGATTTTGCTTCAGGTTAAAGGGGTGGAGAATGAACCTCGTAGCAATAATTGGGCTGGTTGGCAACCTTGGCCATCCGACGGCCGATGTCAAAGATGACAGCACGTAGCACTGCTCAACCACTTCTGATAGGGATTCCATACAGAAATCAACGGGGCTGTCGTTCAACCAACCTCTGCACAATCCACCCACAATGTTGTCGAAAGCGATGATGCCCTTGCCTGACTTTGGCGCGAATTCAGAACTCAGTCGGCTAATTGTAAATTTTGAAATGACCTCATTTGCCATGGCCCAATGTCGGTTGCAAACCGCATCAGAAGATAGGCCAGTCATTCCAGTCTCCGCTCCAAAAAGATCCACATTAGAGACAACCTTGCGCCAATCTCGTTCCAGCCATTTCCTGTCGTCAAACCATGACCGTATGTTGCTCTTGACGGCGTAGAAAGCTGTCAGCGCGCCAACGTATTTCCTAGAAGCACATATAGTTAAAGCAACCTTCTTATGGCAACCTTCCAAGAGCAACCATACAAATAAAGCAGCTTTACCCGCTAAACTTCCACAGTTTAGGGTCAATGGACGCGACGATGTCCAACCCGATTCCTTGCTTCTTGATCTTGTCCGCAAGAGGGCCTGGTCCACGTTGTTCATTCTTTGCGTCCTTGATGGCAGCCTCCATAGATCGCGTGAGATCAGCAGGAATTACAAACGGGTGCATGTAGGTACCGGTTCGCATCGCCTCCCAGCTGCACTGAATGGTCCGTGAACTGAGGTAAGCGTCCTCCAACTGGATAGGGTATTTGTCCATCATGTCTGCCACCACCTTCAAATTCGAGGTGTTTCGCGCCCAGATGACGAACTCGTCAAGCTGCACGGTAAGATTACTTGGATATTTGTGCACTGCAAGACGCGTAGCAATCTTCGTCTGTCGTAGCTGCTTGGTTGTTGTCCGTGGTCGTCCTTGACCCTTCGGCTTCGGAACGCTAATAATATCCACTTGACGGGCGGGAGGTGCCACAGACGCATGAGATGCATTTACGTCAATAGACATATCTTCCCCATCTCCTTCATCCTGGAGATTTTCATCAGAGCTGTCTTTCGGAGTTTCCTTTGTGATCTCAGATGGCTGAGTTGGAGGAACCGTCTCGCCATCACTACTGTCATCCGTGATGTCTGCAGAGTCTGCACTGGTTTCCAGCGTTTCCATAAGACACGCCGTTCCCATTGCTTCTACAGGATCTAAAAGCGAGAAATTGCCAGCTTTCGTGTCCTCGTCCTCGCCTCCTTCGTCGTTGCTACTCACAAAGGTACCCTTTTCGCCAACACGCAGCCCAATATCCACAGTCTCCTTCCACGCACTCAGCTCCTGGTAGTAATCAGCACTGGACAACTCGGATAAATGCTGTAGCAAAGGCTCTAACATGGCCTTAGCGTAAGAATACTTCTCGGCAGA